TAGATTGATGCCGCCCAAGGTTCAAGAACCAGTGGAAAGAGGAGATAATTTTATACAAGATATGAAAGTTTTAAAAAATCCTATAGAATAGCAGCGGAGAAATTTATAGTTTAAATTTCTTAGCAAATTGTATTGAATATTTGTTGGCAGTGTGGATAGCTGTTAGGAAAGTATCGTTTTGGAGTGCTTTGAAATGCGTTTGTAGGTTCGTGTGCGGATAACCATAAAGGTACTAGTTAGCTAATGTGACCTGCATGGTTTATTTCTCCCAAATTGATTTGGGAAAGAAGAAATTGCTGTATTTATCATTTTGACTTTTGAGTGATTGAAATTAGTTAATTTACACGACATCGAATATCATGTTGAATGTCATGTTGAATCTCATGCGTACTTCACACTGAGCTATACTATATTACTGGAGGACGTGCTCGGGATAAAAAAGTGAAGCCAAAAACATGGCGGATTTTCACGCCATTTCCATGGCAACTGGTTCCTTTTGGCCATGAAAATACCACTGACCAGGCTCATTTCTGAGCCCACTACAGTTTTCACACCCCCCTGGTTTTTTCAGAAATATTTATAGGTTTTTCGAGTTTTTGCAGTGAATTCTGGTTGTTTTGATATTTTTACATATTTTTCGACCTGCGACCATCTATTCAAAGAAGTACAAGTCATAAACGTCCGGGAAAGACAACAAACGCCGTGCAAAATGTTGGCAAAGACGATATTTGAAGCAAGAGGCGCAGCTATTTATACAGTACAGCCAGATAAAAATACAAAAAACAATATCATATAATATGAATTTATTTTTTAGCATGAGAAGCTTTGTACAATATAGTGAATATTTTAGCCACGATTATTTAAGTATTTTCGTACAAATGTAGAGATATTTCACCGCAAACGGCAAACGCAAAGGGTCAAATTTATTAATTTAACATGCTTGAATTTCATACTATTCTATGATTTGTCAGATTTGCTGAGTATAAACTTTTATTTACAGGTGTGAAGACATGCATGAAATTACTATGTGCTACAATCTTTAAAAGAGGGATTTAGGATGTCAAAGAAATCAGTATTTTGTCAAGAAACTTATGTACCAATTTAACATCATGTCATATAAAGCTGAGGCCTCTTTTCCATTCATTGCAAGAGCAACATAACCTTTGCTAGTGTTTTCAACCAATCGTCATTCTCCCCCACTTTACATGGAAGCATTGAATCATTCACAGTGAGCTTGTAATGATTTTGGCGATAAGTTGAAAGTGGCATGAGGGTGCTGAAAGGGTGCCAGGAGAAGCCGACATGGTGCTGTGGGCACTAATGACCTGGTAACACAATTTTACATGGGTTTCTGGGCAATGGTGTGATGGCTTGATAATTTCCATTCTTGACTATTGTGTGCCAGTGTGCAGTTGATAGTAAATAAGATAGTTTGTAGGGGTCCACTCACCAATGGATCTCAGTTTAGGTTAAAACCTGGAAAATATATGCCAGGCAGAGTATAAATTGTACTATATATAAACTGTATTATATAGTAATGGCTATAAATATGGCTATAAATTGTCAAATAAAATCACTTGCAGCTCTGGCTGAGATTTTTGTTCAGTTACTGGCCAACTGAACTCTGGTCCAAACTTGAACATGTTGGTTCTTGTCTCAGCAACTGAGATACTCCCATATCAGATGCTCCCATATAAAATTTGCAGGCTTGAGTGTACAATGTACATAGCCATTTGAAAAAATGAGAATCAATTTGTACGTTTTGAATAAAGACTTAAATCCAGGTAGTTGCATCATACATCAAAACCTGCAATAAAGCTTTGAGTTTGCTACTGTAATCTCCCTGTTAAACCTCACCCCCCCCCCACTCTAATACCCCACCCCCCCAATTTAGATGAAAAAATTGTTGAGCCCCCTCTCTATTAAACATTCTTTATAATTAAGACATCATTTATCACACAAAAAGACATGTTTTGGTGAGATTTATTTAATTTTCTGGCTCACACAAAACACAATTGTATTGTGCTTGCAGGGCCATGCCAACCGACACATCTTTGGGAGGGTGAATACAGAACTTTGGGCCCCTTCGCTTTTTGGGTCCCCAAATTATTCCCAATATTTTTTTTGGGGGGGGTGGGGTGGTAATTGTTTCTTTTTCCAAACCGTTGTTTGCATAAAAAGCTTAATTAAAATTTTTTCAGCATAACCTTTATAAAATTGGCCTCAATTTTGCACAACATTCCCAAAAAATTCACATGTTTTGCAATTTGGGCATTTTATTATTATTAATATCAACTTCTTTATTTATGGAGGGTAGACACATAACAGTAAAAACTGACAAACCAGTGGCTCTCCAAAAATTTGGGGGACACATTTCAAAAGATTGGACCCGGGGATGTTAGACCCTCCAGTCAATCCAGCCCTGTGTGCTTGAGAAAATTATCATTAATTCACAGATAAATAGATACGCTCCCTCTTTTACCCTACATTACCCCCAGGGGTTTTCACTATTTTGTTTATACCTTCTTAAAAGAATAATTATAAATCAGCAAGAAAAAGTTTTACAAACTATATATACAACCATACACATTATAATTATAACTGTAAGCAGTCATATTTTGTTTTAAAAACACCACTGACAATAACATGATTCTCTATTTATCACAGTCTGATAGCAATGATAAAATGAAGTTATCTTTCTAGTTCAGGGCAGGAATTCTGGGCAGGGCCCTTACTTTTGTAAGTTGGACAATATTTAATTTTAACATATGGTGCACCACTACATGTCTGATGTCTACACCACCACTCTTGCTATTTGAACATTTAAGACCTCAGGTGGCTTTCTTTTTCACATTTCAGTATCAGTGCCTAGAAAAGAAAAATCTGGCATATTTACAATTTTACAGTAGCAAATGGCATGTATTGGATCATTCCAGCTAAATCGATATTAACCTAAATATGTTGAGTGGCAGCACCTTCCTTGTGACGAGTAAAATTGTCCAGCGTTAGATAGAGTAAAATAATAATGTAAGGTGCATCTGGGCACATTGCTACTTAAAGGGTTAATAATACAATGTGGGTACTGCTACAAATCATAAAAATCAGGTTTAACCCGAGGGCTCCCTATACCTCTTCACAATATGCTTTCACGTAAAAATATTTTGCCTTTTCACGAGTCACGGATTAAGAAAATCATCGATCACATTTCACGGCTAAGTAAAATAAGCCCTTCACGCTTCACGCAAAAAGTATAGGGGGCCCTCTAACCCAGTAAGTCGCATTGTGTCCTGATGCACCCTACTTTATTATTTCACTCTGTCAAACGCCAGGTTATTTTACTCATCAAGGGGAGAGTGCTGGGCCGGCCCTAAATGGATTAATCAGGCTATCTGCTCATGTGTCTATTGTTAAACGTTCTGGCCCTCAATGGGTTAAATAATATAAACTGCTTGATGCTGAACTTTTGGAGAGTGCTGGAAAGGTTGGCTGTGCACTGACACCCTACATGTCCTGTATAAAATACAAAGCTGTACAGTAGATAGCTGCTATTTCAAAAACCTGGCAAAACTAGCACACCTAAATCAATAAACAATTTTAAAAACAAAACACAAACCGAAGCACAATGAAACCCAAGAAATGAGTTTAATAAAACAAAACAGGAAAGAGTTTGCCCAGGAAAACTTGCTCAAAACTACAATGTCAATGTAGAAATGAAAAAACTGCTGTAACTAGTAATACTCGCAGTTTTAATATAGCATCAGGTTTTGAGATATATATCCACGAAAGTTAAAAATATATGGCAACGTTACCAAGCGAGAAAGTAAAAAAATCGTGAATCTTACCGGTAATATTCTCCTTTTAGAGCCATAACAGGCACAGCAAAAATGCACCGTCTTCCCTGACTTTGTAAAACAGACAAAATTGATGAGAAATATCAAGATTTTCAATTCAAAGACAAACGAAACCAAAATATTTTATATTTTGTGAAAAAACCCAGGGGGGTGAAAGATATTGTTTAAAGCGTAGGATCGCGGTTGGTCAGTGGTAATTACCATGAGAAATAAGAACCAGTAGTCATGGCAATGGCGTAAGATCCGCCATGTTTTTGGCTTCACTTGAATGACTGGCGGAAAGATAGGAGCAGCTCCTCCAGTAATATTATAGCTCAGTGGTACTTCACAGTGGTTTTGCAACAACCAGTCGATTTCCCGTCGTTGGTTATACATCTCAAGTCTCGACTCGGCAATTCTCATTGCTCGTACATATTTTCTCAACGAAACACAAAAATGGCCGGGTAATAAATACCGATTATTGTCAGTTAATGCTAAAATCTCAATTATACAAACAACATGCGGTTTGAACGTGCATACATGTATATTCAAGACGATATTCGAGCATGCTGTAGGCCTGTATATGCACATGTATTCAAAGTATGTAAGACGACACCAAATAGTGTGCAGTATTCCTGTTTAAATCAAATCTGATTTCGTGTCGACCATTGATATATGCTGATTCAAGTATAAACTCGATAGTTCATAGTGTTTAATTGCCGGTATCAAACTTATAATTTTACATTAAAATTTATAGGGGTTGATATTTATGATGTTACTCTGAGTGTGTATCCACACTGGGCAAAAATATCCCTGGCAAGGGTGGGAATCGAACCTACGACCTTTGGAAATTACTAGCCCAATGCTCTGCCAACTGAGCTACGCGGTCAGATTGGTTCGAGTATGTGATATTTCGGAACTGACTCTACTTCCTTCGACATCAATGTAATCTAATAATCATGATTTTTTTGTGTGTTGGTGTTGTGTATTCAGGTGAATATGATACCGGTATTTGTGATGTTACTCTGAGTGTGTATCCACACTGGGCATGCTTGAAAAATATGCCTGGCTACAGTGAGAATCGAACCTACGACCTTTCGAATACTAGCCCAAAAAAATCATGGTTATTAGATTACATTGATGTTGACGGAACTAGACTCAGTTCCGAAATATCACATACTCGAACCGACCTGACCACGTAGCTCAGTTGGCAAAACATTGGGCTAGTAGGTTCGATTCCCACCGTGGCGAGGCATTTTTTCAAGCTTGCCTGGTCTGGATATACACTCTGAGTAACATCACAAATATCATATTCACCTGAGTACACAACACCAACACAAAAAAATCATGATTAGATTACATTGATGTTGACGGAACTAGACTCAGTTCCGAAATATCACATACTCGAACCGACCTGACCACGTAGCTCAGTTGGCAAAACATTGGGCTAGTAGGTTCGATTCCCACCGTGGCGAGGCATTTTTTCAAGCTTGCCTGGTCTGGATATACACTCTGAGTAACATCACAAATATCATATTCACCTGAGTACACAACACCAACACAAAAAAATCATGATTAGATTACATTGATGTTGACGGAACTAGACTCAGTTCCGAAATATCACATACTCGAACCGACCTGACCACGTAGCTCAGTTGGCAAAACATTGGGCTAGTAGGTTCGATTCCCACCGTGGCGAGGCATTTTTTCAAGCTTGCCTGGTCTGGATATACACTCTGAGTAACATCACAAATATCATATTCACCTGAGTACACAACACCAACACAAAAAAATCATGATTAGATTACATTGATGTTGACGGAACTAGACTCAGTTCCGAAATATCACATACTCGAACCGACCTGACCACGTAGCTCAGTTGGCAAAACATTGGGCTAGTAGGTTCGATTCCCACCGTGGCGAGGCATTTTTTCAAGCTTGCCTGGTCTGGATATACACTCTGAGTAACATCACAAATATCATATTCACCTGAGTACACAACACCAACACAAAAAAATCATGATTAGATTACATTGATGTTGACGGAACTAGACTCAGTTCCGAAATATCACATACTCGAACCGACCTGACTGCGTAGCTCAGTTGGCAGAGCATTGGGCTAGTATTCCAAAGGTCGTAGGTTCGATTCCCATGTGGCCAGGCATATTTTTCAAGCTTGCCCGGTGTGGATACTCACTCAGAGTAACATCACAAATATCATATTCACCTGAGTACACAAGACCAACACAAAAAAATCATGTTTATAGGGGTTGTTCATATGAGAATGTCTATATAAGGGGCCTGTTTAAATGGAGGCAAGTTACCCAGCAAGGTGAGTTTATATGATACAACCTGGCAACTCATCTTGGCAAGTTCTGGCAGAAAGACACAAAATCTTGCCCAGGTGAAATGACTTATTTTACCATCCATGTAAACACTTTACTCAGGAAAGGTAGAAATTTGTCTTGCATTTAAAATAATAGCTTACAAATAAATATGAATCATTAGATATCAGCTTTCCTGAATTTCTTGGCATTAATTCTTGTATTATCATTATATTTTGTATGTAATGATTTTAAATCTTTTAAGTGACTTTGTGTTTTGCACAAATTTAATGCTAAGTTTCTGTTTATGTGGAATTTGCTTAGCAAGTGCTATATAAGCCAATTCCATACAAACAGTAACTTGCCTTGTTTGCATGGCTAACTCACTCGACTTTGTATTTACAGGCCTCAACTATCCGGCAATCTAGCTGGCTAGTTTCTGTGTGAATTGCAACACACAGGACAGGCTAACCCACAAACTAACAAGAAATCCCCCCTGCATTATTGGCAAGAAAAAGGAAGTTTATGTTTATTTGGCAAACTGCTATAGGTCTGTTAATATCACTGACATCTTATTTCTTATGCCTACTTATTTCCAACTGAGGGGAGAGAAATAATATCTGGGCTAATTCGGCCACGTTTATCCATTCCTGTTTTGCTTTGAATTGAATACATGTTGATTTTTTATAGATTCTAAGTTCATACATAATTTTCAAAATTTGCATGGAATATTCAGCTCTGGAAAGAAGTCCAAGCACTAAAGGTTTGTAATTATGAAA